CAAAAACGAAGCTCTAGGCTTGTGTGGAAATATTATAAGTTGAGTTTTGGAAGCGTTGGGAGAAATCTTCCATTTTTGTAAATAAGAAGAGAAAATATCTAAACTTTTCTGCAGTCTGCTGCAAATAACACGAAGACTTTTTCCTTTAGCGGAAATGCCTGTGTCATCAGCGAACAAAGATTTGTGGCCACCTTGAGGCAAATCAGGGAGGTCCGAAGTGAAAATGTTATACAATATAGGCCCAAGAATGCTACCCTGAGGAACTCCTGCTCTAACAGGTAGTCGATTAGATTTGGAATTTTGATAATTTACCTGCAGAGTTCTGTCAGTTAAATAATTTTGAACTAATTTCATAATATAAAGTGGAAAAAAAACGGAATAGAAAAAATCATCACAAGATGGCTGCTACAGACGATTTGACAAATCATAACACCCTATATCAAACGAGACACATTATACCTTTTATTTCAAGTAACGAGATAACAATACTTGCCCTGCGAAATATTGATAAGCGTTTCATTTTCGACACATAAAACAAACATGCATACTTTAGTGTGACAAATACTATTGTAAGGCGACACCTAACAATGATTTTTTCAACAACCAATAATAATATCAACAAAACTTTTTAAGAGCGTTGCACAAAACTATACAATATGCGATTCTTTTTTTCCCCCTGTATGAAAGAAATCTCTTTTTTGAAGTCTCACAATTCACTATCTTCAAAGACTACACCGGAAATTCCTTGACCCACGTTACAGGTCACTCTGCCACTTTATGTTTAACACTCCAAAAACACAGTTCGACACACTCCAAACCTTGGATTTTAACATACGAGTAAAGACCTACATTGTCACCGTCAAAGCCAATGAACAACTCTACGATCGCAGGGGGATCTATAGCAGCGTTGTGGATGTCATGGTTGCCAGTAAACATTGTATGTTGCCGCTTGACGTTTTGACAGCTTATTCGACAAAGAAACACCCTAAAACACACAAGAAACAAAGTCAGCACAGTCACAAGGTGGCAGAGTGAGTTACCCCTTGTTACAGGGCATGTGTGCAGGGGTTGAAACCACAAATGAAGTGACAGACGGAGCGGCTCGAAAACTTTGGTGACTGACAATTTTTCAGTGTACCACATGGCAACACCACTAACCACTGGGTTGTACCACATGGCAACACTACTACTGGATTGCACTAGCATTTTCACCAAAAGTACTAGAATGTTTTAGTTCTATCAACAATCAATACAAAACTAACGAATTTAAATTGGCTCACTACCTGACTAGCCTATTGGTCCCAAGCAAATCGATTAACGTATCCCATTCTTGTCAAAATTCTAGTACTACACAATGTTTGTTTTGATTCGCTATGAAAGTTTGACAGATAAAATGAGGGGTTATTGGATATTCCTATGTTTCGAGGGGTGAATCGATAAGCTTGGGACCGAAGATAGTACCAGAGCTAAGCCAAAAAGTTGAGCTCGTTTCTTCGGGACCTTCTGGTCTTAGAGTTACCTCTATGGTTCTATCTGTTTCACTCTATTTAAAACTGGAATGCATAAAAAAATGACAAAATGATACGCACTCTTTGCACACTGTCAAAGAATCATTGTACACAAAATCAACTTTGTGCAAAATCAAAACAAAACTACTATCCCATCTGGTGGATGATGGCACAAGCTTCCAAGAAAATTCTATTACAGTGAACCACATTATTTAAATGGATTTCTTTGCCAGTTAGTCGTCTGTCACTTCGTTTGTGGTTGAAACGGTTGACGTGACAGTCTGTTATTTAGTATTCGTACACTCATGCTCAATGTCGTTTCTCTCGTACAACACGTTTTAATTCCTAAATTTTGCATGAATCAAACCATTTCTGATCATAAATTTTATTACGAAGACATCACTGCTTGCTATTTTCAGAAATCGCAAAAAAACTAAAATACTTAAATACGTGACGGTCTTTGGCGACAGTGTCGTAAGACAGAGAGTATCATATTATATTTTATTTTGTTACTGTAGTTTGATAGCTTGTTTTGCAAGTGTCGGAAGCAAAGGCAGTCGATTACCACAGAAAACGCGTCAACTACGAACCACCGCCATTGGTGCATGGCTCCATTCCGTATACCGTGTTTTTAATCGTTTCATATAATCACCCACATGTTAGGGTCCTATCGTGCTCGCTCAGCTTTTATTATGATATTTTGGTATCATGAATTTAGGCGTTCTTTTCGGTCGCTGGAATTGTCGGTTCTGATTTCGGCGTTCGTCGCGAGTTGATTCGGCCTATGAGGAGAGGAGCTGGTGCTGTGTTTTACAGATTGTGTACTAGCGAACTGAAGCCGTTGTGTCGCGAGTGTGATGGAAATGGAAAGTGGACGCAGTCCTTGTTTTTCTCTGCTGAGATCCCTCTAGTTGGAGCTGCTAGAGTGCGTGTATTCGTGGTTGATAGGGTATGCCATACAAATCCAGTGATAAAAAGCTTGACAGCAAGCTTGACAGTCGATTAATGGCTTTGTAATTTGTTTTTAAATATGCTATTGTTTGACATTGATCTAAATATAAACAATGAATCTCCAAAGATTTTACTTGTGTTTTATTTGTTTTCCAAAAATCAGATAGCTATCAATTTCACTTTTCATATGCAAACTTAATTATAATTATTTAAATCTCATAAATTTAATTTCCATTTATGCGATTGCGTTGCGTCGTCCTTGGGCCTTGGTTCCCAAATAGAATGTTTATGGAGGTTGCAGATTGACTCATGAGATCCTTTACTTATATATAATAACACAATACCATAACCATCATTATTTTACGAAATGACAGGTGTCGGTTTGCCTGACGTCTTTTTGTCAAAGTTAATTCATGAGTTGATTCAGAAACGTCTCGTAAAATGGTCTATTCGCGATTAATCATCCGCATTAAATCATTAAAGCATCTCTGGCTCAATCAGCAAGGCATGCGATTACAGTTCTGTTGTATATAGTTACTAAACATTGAATTTTATTAATTATGTATTTTAATTAAATGGGGTCTTCACTACGGCGGATAAAAAGGAAAAATCTATCCATCCAAACAAAAATTGCGAAAAAAAATTTAAACATACAAGGGGGTTAGAAGGAAAGGGGTGTTATTGACTTTAAACGATTATCTTCATCGACTTAATGTTTCATTCATGACTCAGCTGTCTTTCTGGATGCTTGATAACAACCTTCTTTTTCAAACTAGGTGGCATAAATAGCGCGAAATCTATTTGTAAACCCGTGGTTATCAAAACAGAAAGTCGATGAAGAGAATCGATCGAAATCACTTACACCATTTTCCTTCCAACCCCTAATATTTAATTCTTCTATCGGGTAGCCCATTGAAATTTTTTACCCCGTAGTGAAAACCACATTTAATAAAAATGCTTAGTTAATAAAATACAAGCGATTTCAAATCCAATGTTGCAGCATCCATGAAGTACGTCAGGCAAAGTTAAGAAAAAAATAACCCCGTCCCCCTTTGTCACGTTTTTCCTATACCAAATACATTGTTTGTCACAGATTTCTAAAATCCCCCTCCCTCCTCAGAGCGTGAGGTACTTAATGGATCGCCTGTTTACATTCTACCAAAGGATTTGACCGATGGAGACAGAACAGCGATGGCAGTTGTTGCTTGAGCCACGGATGCTCAACTTTAATCGCGAATGGATGAGTACAAGGACTCATAGTAATAGACCTGCCAATTTTTTAATCGATTGAATTGGCAATCACTGCTTTTTATACTTAATGTGTCCACGTGTATAAGCGATTCCATACCTATGACTGTTAGTGTATGTGCAGTATGAGAGATATAAAATTAATGCTTTATGGCTTGTGACACCGATGGTGAGTGTTATACCACAAACGAAGTGACAGACGACTAACTGGCAAAGAAATCCATTTAAATAATGTGGTTCACTGTAATAGAATTTTCTTGGAAGCTTGTGCCATCATCCACCAGATGGGATAGTATTTTTGTTTTGATTTTGCACAAAGTTGATTTTGTGTACAATGATTCTTTGACAGTGTGCAAAGAGTGCGTATCATTTTGTCATTTTTTTATGCATTCCAGTTTTAAATAGAGTGAAACAGATAGAACTAAAACATTCTAGTACTTTTGGTGAAAATGCTAGTGCAATCCAGTAGTAGTGTTGCCATGTGGTACAACCCAGTGGTAGTGGTGTTGCCATGTGGTACACTGAAAAATTGTTAGTCACCAAAGTTTTCGAGCCGCTCCGTCTGTCACTTCGTTTGTGGTTATACTATCCGTTTAATAATTAATAATAAATATAATAATTTATTTTTATTTCAAAAGCTAGAGAAATATGGGGTAATAAGACACAGGGGTAATAAGAAACAATTTCGGTAACTTTTTGCAATGGTAATAATTTAAATTAAAGACACCTTTTTCGGTACGCTGAATTCTATTATGGTCAAAACATGGTAAGGTGATTGTTTTCAATAGCATTTAGTTATTGGAAAATAGTTTCTTCAGAAACTTTATAAACGCATGTGGGGTGTCGCACGAGAATGATTTTTAAATTTTTACCTACTGTTTTGTTTTTTTGATCCCTTCTACGAAAGTTTGTGTTTTGTTACAATGTAGTCCGATGTCATTGTTGTATTTGTGACATTAAAAATAAAATGTTTTTAATTGCCTCAACTTTTAATTGCTTTATTTCACAATGCATAGTGGCCAATGAGGCCAATTTAGGATGAAAGATACAGCTCCAGTTAATATGTGTCGCGTAGTGGGTTTGGTATGTTTTTGTATTTAGTGTGAAGGCTCATACTGACCGAAACATGTTTCCACTTGTTCACTGATAATTTTCCGAATAGGTTGGTGTAAATTTAAAAGTGCGAACATCATTTAAATATATTTGCATTTGTTTTCTTAAAATTCTACATTTATTAAATAGCATTAATTTTTCATTTCTTTTGAAAAAAAAATGTTATATGACAATTGCAGAATGGTGAAACATCAGGTCAAGCCCCACGAGATCGCAAGCGTGCAGCTGTACTGCTCATCGAAGTACGGAAAAGACTGGATGCATAATCCGGATGTGCTTCTGGATGACGATGCGTACGACGCTGCCGGAATGTCGACCAGGGAAGATGTTCTTAGACGCAATAAGAAGCGTCTAAGCAGCCTGATGAGAACATTCGTCAGGAGAGCAGGGAATACCCTGAATGCCAAGAAGGGCCATCAGGGTGAAGAAGATCGAAAGGGCTGCGAGGAAGCCCAGCAAGGTGATGCGAAGGACCAACAGGACGAGGATGCCGAAGAGGCCCAGCAGGCCATGAAAGGTGACGAGGCCCAAAAGGGCGATAACGAGGCCAGGAAGGGCCAAGCGGAGGCCAGGAAGGGCCAAGCGGAGGCCAGGAAGGGCCAAGCGGAGGCTAGGAAGGGCCAAGCGGAGGCCATGAAGGGTGACGAGGCCCAAAAGGGCGATAACGAGGCCAGGAAGGGCCAAACGGAGGCCAGGAAGGGCCAAGCGGAGGCCAGGAAGGGCCAAGCGGAGGCTAGGAAGGGCCAAGCGGAGGCCAGGAAGGGCCAAGCGGAGGCCAGGAATGGTGACGAGGCCCAAAAGGGCGATAAGGAGGCCATGAAGGGCCAAACGGAGGCTATGAAGGGCCGTGCGGGGGACCCGGACAGGGAGAAGGGTAACGACGAGACCCAGCAGGATGTCGGAGAGGCCCAGCAGGCCAGAAAGAGCCACGTGGAGGCCATGAAGGGCCTTGTGGAAGGCAGGAAGTGCCGTGCGGAGGCTAGGAAGGGCCGCACGGTAGCTAGGAAGGGAAATGACGTGGAGCAACAGAGTGGCGAGGGGGCCCACCACGTCGAGGATACCCACCAGGTCAACGTGGAGACAATGAAGCGCCACACGGAGGCCTGTAAGGGCAACGGCGAGGTGCAACAGAGTGGCGAGACCCAGCAGGGTGTCGAAGAGGCCCAGCAGACCATGAATGAGGGCGGCGAGGATGAGGTGCGGCAGAGTGGCGAGGGGCTTCACCAGGGCAGGGAGACCGAAAAGGTGAAGAAGGGCAACGATGAGACCCAGCAAGGTGCCGAAGAGGTCCAGCAGGGTGGCGAGGAAGAGGTTCTGCAGAGCGGTGAGGAGGCCCACCAGACAGAGGAGACCCACCAGGCCGGGGAGAAAAGAGTCGTTGTCATTGACTATGACATTTCTCTTGCGAGTCAGCAGTTTTATTTAGCATTCCGCTAACAAGCCAATTTCATTACTTCATTATGACGGCTACCAAGCCTTTGGGGATTTTCCTTATTAGAGAGTTGTACAGATTTTTCTCCTTTACCTTACTTAAATCTTTGGTTTTTATTAGTTAGGTAGGTTCCGATTCAACACATTGTAGTTTCATTTTTATACCTATGATCTTGACTTTTTTACCTAGGGGATGAGTACTTAAGGGGGTTAGATTTTGATAAGTTCTTTAGTGGGAATGACACTGATGAAGACTGCACATTGTAGTCGAAATACGTATCTGTCATGGATACCAAAATTAATTAAGTGGAATTAAATGGAAGATAACCTTTTTTGCTGTTTTATTTAGCATTCCGCTAACAACCCAATTTCATTACTTCATTATGACGGCTACCAAGCCTTTGGGGATTTTCCTTATTAGAGAGTTGTACAGATTTTTCTCCTTTACCTTACTTAAATCTTTGGTTTTTATTAGTTAGGTAGGTTCCGATTCAACACATTGTAGTTTCATTTTTATACCTATGATCTTGACTTTTTTACCTAGGGGATGAGTACTTAAGGGGGTTAGATTTTGATAAGTTCTTTAGTGGGAATGACACTGAGGAAGACTGCACATTGTAGTCGAAATACGTATCTGTCATGGATACCAAAATTAATTAAGTGGAATTAAATGGAAGATAACCTTTTTTGCTGTTTTATTTAGCATTCCGCTAACAACCCAATTTCATTACTTCATTATGACGGCTACCAAGCCTTTGGGGATTTTCCTTATTAGAGAGTTGTACAGATTTTTCTCCTTTACCTTACTTAAATCTTTGGTTTTTATTAGTTAGGTAGGTTCCGATTCAACACATTGTAGTTTCATTTTTATACCTATGATCTTGACTTTTTTACCTAGGGGATGAGTACTTAAGGGGGTTAGATTTTGATAAGTTCTTTAGTGGGAATGACACTGATGAAGACTGCACATTGTAGTCGAAATACGTATCTGTCATGGATACCAAAATTAATTAAGTGGAATTAAATGGAAGATAACCTTTTTTGCTGTTTTATTTAGCATTCCGCTAACAACCCAATTTCATTACTTCATTATGACGGCTACCAAGCCTTTGGGGATTTTCCTTATTAGAGAGTTGTACAGATTTTTCTCCTTTACCTTACTTAAATCTTTGGTTTTTATTAGTTAGGTAGGTTCCGATTCAACACATTGTAGTTTCATTTTTATACCTATGATCTTGACTTTTTTACCTAGGGGATGAGTACTTAAGGGGGTTAGATTTTGATAAGTTCTTTAGTGGGAATGACACTGATGAAGACTGCACATTGTAGTCGAAATACGTATCTGTCATGGATACCAAAATTAATTAAGTGGAATTAAATGGAAGATAACCTTTTTTGCTGTTTTATTTAGCATTCCGCTAACAACCCAATTTCATTACTTCATTATGACGGCTACCAAGCCTTTGGGGATTTTCCTTATTAGAGAGTTGTACAGATTTTTCTCCTTTACCTTACTTAAATCTTTGGTTTTTATTAGTTAGGTAGGTTCCGATTCAACACATTGTAGTTTCATTTTTATACCTATGATCTTGACTTTTTTACCTAGGGGATGAGTACTTAAGGGGTTAGATTTTGATAAGTTCTTTAGTGGGAATGACACTGAGGAAGACTGCACATTGTAGTCGAAATACGTATCTGTCATGGATACCAAAATTAATTAAGTGGAATTAAATGGAAGATAACCTTTTTTGCTGTTTTATTTAGCATTCCGCTAACAACCCAATTTCATTACTTCATTATGACGGCTACCAAGCCTTTGGGGATTTTCCTTATTAGAGAGTTGTACAGATTTTCTCCTTTACCTTACTTAAATCTTTGGTTTTTATTAGTTAGGTAGGTTCCGATTCAACACATTGTAGTTTCATTTTTATACCTATGATCTTGACTTTTTTACCTAGGGGATGAGTACTTAAGGGGGTTAGATTTTGATAAGTTCTTTAGTGGGAATGACACTGATGAAGACTGCACATTGTAGTCGAAATACGTATCTGTCATGGATACCAAAATTAATTAAGTGGAATTAAATGGAAGATAACCTTTTTTGCTGTTTTATTTAGCATTCCGCTAACAACCCAATTTCATTACTTCATTATGACGGCTACCAAGCCTTTGGGGATTTTCCTTATTAGAGAGTTGTACAGATTTTTTCTCCTTTACCTTACTTAAATCTTTGGTTTTTATTAGTTAGGTAGGTTCCGATTCAACACATTGTAGTTTCATTTTTATACCTATGATCTTGACTTTTTTACCTAGGGGATGAGTACTTAAGGGGGTTAGATTTT